TTCAGCGATCATTTTCAAGGCAACTAACCAATCATGACAATCAGCACACAGCTTACCGGGATAGGCTCTCTGAGTAGTCGAAGTACTGTCAATTCTCCATCCTCTTCAAGACCACGCGAGTACGAGACCAATGGGATACCAGATCCTTTGCATCTCACCGACATCGCCAAGCTGATCATCCTGTGTCGAAGCGCTGCGACAACAGTCACTCCAGGCACTCAGCCAATCACCCCGCCAGCGAGCTGCCACCCTAACCGCCGACATCACAACCACCAAGATATTCTGCAGGATAATTCAGTTTCTTCACACTAGCCAGAGCCTCTCACATTTCAGACCCTTGACGCTCTACATGATGGATTTATGGCGTTTACCCGACCTGGAAAGTCTGGAGAGGGAGGGGTATATGTCAATATTGATCCGCCTTTTCCCCTGCATGTCAATTCAAAGCCGTTTTCCATTCTGATTAAATTAGAGCATCGTTTGATATCGTTTCTGCGTGACATTGACAATTTTGCCTGTGTAAAGTGTGGAACAGGATCGATTCGCGTTTGTTGTGTCTCTTTCTATACCTGCGGCCTGCCGTTTATCCTCTAATTTACTGGGCCTCAATTTCGATTTCGCTCGGATTGAGAGATGAGCCAGTTTCAGTTATTTCCTCCCCCTTCCCCTGTGGGTGGAGGCTCGAAGAATCCTTTTCGCAAAGGAATCAAGAAACCGGCTGCGAAGCCGCAGTCATCGAGCCCAATACCTTTGGAGGACCTCAAAGGCTCACGGACAGAAGCAGTGCTTTTGCAGATTATAGAGGACACAAAGAAGGTTCAGCCACCTCCAAAGGCACATGTAGCCCGAGAAACGCCGCTGTCGATACCGGAGACAATACGTGAACCCGAGTCTGAGTCGCTGTATGATGCCACTCCACGGATCGGGACCGCAGAAAGAGAACGCTCACCAACACCGAAGACCAAGCCTTCATTACCACAAGGCCAGACAGACTCTCGTCAAATGTCGCCGCAACCCTCTGAGCCTCCGATGATTCCGATGAAATCGATATTCCCGCGTTACGATCCGAATTTCCCGCTTAGCCAACAGCACTACTACCCTCAGTCCTCGGGCAGTACGCCTCGGACTCGCCACTATCCTCGAGGGCTGACCCTGACGCCAGAGCCAGAAATTGATCGCGCCCTAGGGCCCAAGACAGTCCCTGCGAGCGTATTAAACTTTCCAACAGATATGCTCGAGCCGCTCGAGGTACACTATTCCTCTGCAGCGGAGCTGAAGGGTCTTTGGGAGGTCGCCAATGGACAAAGGCCGCAGAATCTTATCGGAACATTCAATCTCCGTATGCATAGGTGAGCATTCTGCTAGATTAGTATTCGGCTGAGCTGATCAGGTATAGGACTGATCATGCAATATTCACATTCGGAGACCCGCAGTCTCCGTTTTACACGATGCATACCTTCTCGACGGATGAGCTGTCTATTGCCAGAGCACACCCAATGAAACCAAACAGCAATGTCTCCGTGATGATGCTGAAACTGGAGGAGCAAAAGCGTCGGCTACCGCCCAACGACGGATTGGTCACACTGTTGTTCTCCCGACTGGCTGCAATGCTAGCTATTGGCGAAGCAGAGGAACTAGCAAAGCAACATGGCCTTTCGTCAACTGAAGCGAGCAAAGTGGAAGGCAACGCGCTGAAGCGAGCAGCTGCACAAGAGTCCTGCAGACTTCTCTGGAATAATGAGAAGCACCTGTACGAGCTCCAGCACCCATCCCACTGCAAACAGCAGCCGCCCGCCCTCGTCGGCGCAGCTGGCTTCGGTGCGGCGGGCATTCCCCTTTCTCCAGTGCGGTCGAAGTACGCGGGGATCCTCCACATCACAGTCTCGACTCCGTCGAGCGACGCGAAGTCCCGTCAACCCCCGACGATCATCGTGACGACGCCTTTATCAGCCAACGCCCTGGAGGCTGCCAACCAGGCGGCCACACCACGCACCTCTACCCTTCCGTTGACCGACTCGGACGAGCCGCTGGCGTCACTTGACCTAGGCACAATGACTCTGTCGATTTCTGCGACGGCCATCATCAATACCATCCCATCACTGTATGCCATCGACTCCCTGGTAGCGGCCATGCTGGCCGTGGCTGCTTCAGACGAGACGACCAATCCTGTTCTGGCGGATATGGCCTTATATGACCCCAAGCAGGACTCGCATCACTTTTCTTCCCTCTCCAATCCCGCCAGTGGGGGCATGTTCACAGGCAAACTAGTAGCAACTCTCGCAGAACGTGAAGACGCCGAGGAGAGCAATCGGCTAATGGCCAAGATCAAATCGTCCAAGTTCAAGTCCGACACTCCCACCGACAGCAACGGCAAACGATCTTTTTGGTCGTGGGGCCGCTCAAAGACTGCGAAACCAAAGAGCAAAAACCATAAGATCATGATCGAGCAGTTCGATCTGGAGAAGTACGGACGGTACGGGTCAAGTTCTTCCAGGGAAGGACAGAAGCTGCCAGGTCCGACGAGAGGTATTGTTCGGCTTTTGTTTTTTGGATTGAATATGATTGTAAAGACGCTTACGGTATTGGTGAAGATTGTTGCTTGGTTGTTAGTGAGTGTTACTCGGTGCGTGACGAGTGAGAAGTTTTAGTCTATGCCATGATTGATGCTGTTGATACCCTAGTACTCTTGTTTCGTCTTAACTTATTAGGGTTACTTATCTCTGTTATTACAGGATAATATATTTTGTTGGTCTTATTATTAGCTGCTATTTAAGGGGTGGGGCTGAAGTATGTATTTTATTAAAGGTGTGGGATGAATGTCTATCTATGCTGCTGTGGCTAAATCAACTCCTATCAAACAGTATTATAAGGGATACCGTCCTACCTTGTTACAGTAATAGTCATTAGAATCTAGGCCTTCTGCTGCCACAAAACTGCTATTCATATCTAGAGCTGCATTCTTAAGGTCGTCACAATATTATTATTCACTGTAGGTACTTCAATTAGTGGGCGAAAATTGGCACTTAAGGACACTCTTCATTGTGCAAACCATGAAAACCCTTTTGGGCATACCATTTACAACAGGCCAACGTCAACGTCCGCATCATCAACAACAATGTTACACCCTCCAGATCCTCGACTGACAAATCCATCTATATATAACCGTGAGCAGATCGTCGCAGCTGTGACAGAATTTTATCAATTCTTGACTACTCTTCCTTTCGTTGAGCCAGATGAGATTCTGTATCCCCCTCCTGAAGGATGGCCGCAAATTACTAAGGACAAGTTCGCCTTTTCGAACAAGACAGATGAGGTAATCGAGCTGCTACGCCATCTACCTTACCTTGACTCCTCATGTGGAGAATGGAATATCTTCCCTTGGACAAAGTCTTGTGATTACCTTAAAGGAAATGTTAAGGCATATATTCCTTTCCCCCCTGGGTGATAAATCTCACCTACTCAGAGGGGAAATATGGAAAATATGTCATGCTAGATACTACTGATGGTTAGTTCCACTATTCTTAATCTTTATTATAACAACAGACCTCTCACTGATCTATAAGCCCAGCCAAAGTCTATGAGATCTGTGGGAGCTACTTTGATCCCGTCTATGCGGTAGATGATCCGCGTAGCTGGCGGGATATATGTGATGATCAGGTTATGCCGCTGGAAGAATATCTCAATGAGCGGAAGAGGCATTACATCAATCTTGACTGGATCTCACCAGTCAAGGGACTGGAAACATGGCCACATCTCCATATGCGGAGGGACAGTGATCCCAATTCTACTGCTAACGTATGAAATTGCTAATTATAAGCTCCATTATCATCACTATGCTGATCCGATTCGCATAGCAAATGCGGAAAATCTATTTATCTCATTGTTGGCCGGACTCCTTCCGCAGAGAAGACTGCCAGAAAGCACTGGAGGAATGGTATCGTGGTCTCAGGGATTGAAAGCTTCATCTTATACTTGATACAGCCATTAATGCCTGACAAATAATCTTCCAGATCAATTTTGAATAGCACCTATCGGGTTTGACAACTTTTCCTTTCAGCCTGTTATGTTTCGCTTGCGAGATTGGTTGCAGCGGGCGCGGCAAAGACCGACGTACTGTTTCAGCTCTGTGTCTATTGCTCTCCGGCTAGAATTGGCCTCGATCACAACGATAAAGTCAGGATGGACGCTTCGCTTCTTTGGGGAGTTGTACATCGCGGTGTAGTCTTTTGCCCTTGGGTTCCGGTCGAACCATGAGTCGCGATTCAGGAGGGCAAACCCTCGATGATCTTTCCAGTCGACTAAATCGGGCTGGCAGCGGTTGATCTTCAGGCCATCATCACCGTCTCCAGGGTCCACGAGTCCTGACCACGAAACCAAATACAACTGCCTAGTAAATACCGCCCTGTATATATGGGATTCATTATTCGCATGTTTTCAATCTTCCACAGAATGATATCTAACTTTGCTGATGTCAATGGAACGCCACTTACTTCATTCTCAACGGGTATCTATATATGGAGTAATTGCGATATGCATAGCAGATGGTGGTCTACATACCATGCTCAGCGACGCATCCCAGTTTCAACACCTGCCACAGCGAGCTATCAAGACCATACCATTGCCACAAGTGTACATGTACACGTACACCCTACCCGCACATGTCGTAGGCCAGTAAGTGGCAGATACAGAGGGCAGACATTCCACTCCACCCAGGAATGCAGATCGTGCAACCCATGCAGCAGAACAGACCACACATCCATTCCATTCCGCTGCACTAGATATGTATCAGATGGGTATCATGGGAATGGATGACTATGGTAGAAAATTCTCCGTCGGAGTAGAGTTAGCAAGGAATGCGTTTCGTATCTGCCATAGCCTTGCATATCCGTGACGACAGGTATATTAAGGCTTTAATGTTCAACTATTCACCAACTAGATTGCTATATTTCCAAAACCCCAATTAACTGCATAGAACAAGATAAACAAGACACTGAGCTAGGATGGTTCACACCACATCCACTACCCTCCTGGCCATAACCGGCCTAGCTGCCACAGCTACGGCCTACCAGCATACATGGCGGGACCACATGGAGTGCGCAGTAAGCCTCTCTCTCGCCTTTTACTTTTATCTTTCAAAATAAGCCAGCTTGCTAACATCCATCCCGTCAGGCTGCTGTAGCCCAGGACGCAGACTACCCAACCTGCACCTCGCCCTCCAAGTTCCACTGCTTCTGCGCGCAGCCGTTTGATCCGGCCAGGGTAAGCACTGCGGCAAAGGATGTGTGTAAGGGCTTTGGAATCCGTATGTCCATTTCCTTCCTTGCCTCAGACTACGATGAGAACTGACGCGATCAAGCAACGGAGTCTATACACGATTTCATCTGCGATAGCGCTTATGACGATGTGTACGACCACGACCACGACCACTACCGCAACTGCCACCATGCCTTCGTCTACGACGACGGCGACAACGATAGGGACAGACACAGATATCCCATCTCCCATCCCCACCGCCTCAGCCAGCCCATGATGCGTGTCGCTGCTCCGGGGACCGATTCCTCAGACACAGCTAAACACAAGCCCAGCGTCCAGAGCAAGAGGGCGTACGGGCCGGGTCTGTCCCCTTCCGCCTCCTCCTCCCCCTCAGCCTATGCCCACCGCCCCCTCGTCACTGACGCCCCGTCCGCCCGTGACGAAGAGAGCGACTACGAGAACGAAAACGAGAACGAGAACGAGGGCGGGAGCAGGGTCATCACGGAGATCCTCACGCACACGTCGTGCGACTGTTCGTCGTCGACGGTAGCGGCTGCAACGGGCCGGGCGTCGTCGAGTCGACCGGTGTACCTTCATCAGAGCGAGGTCCCTAAGTCAACTTCGTCGTCGGCGTATGCGCCTGTTCACCAGACTGTGGTTCCTGTTCCATCTTCGTCGTCGGCACATGCGCACGTTCATCAGACTGTGGTCCCTGTTCCGTCTTCGTCTTCGTCCTCGGCGCACGCGCATGTTCACCAGACTGTGGTCCCCGTTGCATCTTCAACGGCGTCGAGTATGCTGATGGGATCAGGATCACATTCGTCTGCACCTGCGCATGCGCCTGCATCTGTGTATGTGTCCGTGCCTGTTTCGGTGCCAGAGCCTTCGGGCGTTGATGCGCAGCGGAGTGGGTATCCCAGTCGTCACAAGACAATGGCTTCGTCTTCTATGGTGCCTTCGGCTTCGGCGTTGCCTTCGCCTTCGCATTCGGCAATGACTTTTGATGGGGGTGCGTCGGCAGGGGTGCTTGTGCCGAGGTCGCTGGCTGTGCTTGGGTTGACTGCGTTAATGGCGTTCTTTATGTGAGATTGCTTTTGGGTTACTTTAGGTTTGGCGTGTGCCTTTGTTTTGGCATGTTGAAGGGGGAACGAGGGAAAATGACACTCGATTAGATAGTTACGTAGGTTAGACGACATGGTATGAAATAAGTACAGATGCGAACGCTGCATAACTATATAATTGTGTAGGACTCAACTAGACAGACGGCTGGATCGCCTGCTGCACGCGAGGATATACCTGTACCATCCGATAGTACAGCTCCGGGTGATCGCGGATCATCACCTGCGGATCCCAGCCCATGGCCACGAAGATGGTTTCGATCCCGCTGCTGACGGGTGTCATGAAAATCTGACAGATCTGCAGGCCAATGACGAAGGCAAAGGCCATGATGACGGCCGTGAAGTTTCCATCGGCGTTGTAGCTTGGATGGGTGAATTGCAGATACAGATACGCTAGCAAGGCGCAGACGTACGAAACAAAGACCGAGCCCATGGTGATCACAGGTCCGATGAGACAGTCGTTGACGAGGGCGTCGATGCCGCGGTCTCGCATCATGGTCCACGTATCCTTGGCCGCGGGGATATACGCCTTCCCATACAGGGCGATGTGACAGAAAGCGTAGCGGTTGAACAGCGTGACCAGCCAGTCGAGCATGGCAATGAAGCATCCGAGAATCCAAAACATGATACTCCCCACCAGACTGCCCTCTGCGGCCTCATGCCGCTGTGCGACAGAGCACGCCTGCCGCAGCATGTTGATGAACGCAATGATCAGACTTCCGAAGCTGATGCTGCCGAACGAGTATGTGGTTGCGCGCCTGAATGCGCCCCGCGTTGACCCCTTTGGCATGCCATTCGGCGACTGGCTCCAGAAATACCAGGACCCGTAGACGCCCGCAATGGTGGTATGGATCGTATTCTTCAACCACTCGCTGAACCAATACATGGCGAACGTGACGTATACGACCAGCCCGATGACTCGGCCCCGGCTACACCCGCCGTCGCGGCAGGAGGGGTTAGAGCCGGAGCTGCTCGGCTCATACGCCACATAGATCGAGACCAGGGTGACCGAAAACCACGCAGCGAATGCCACCGCCACAAGACCACCAATCGTGCTCACGAGAAACATATGGCCGTACTGCCGAGACACGTCAATGGAAGTCTGGAGCATGAATGCGCTGAATGGGATACGCGGGATCCAGCTGATGAAGCAGACGATCGCAAAGACGCCAAAGATGAGGAACACGATGCCTCCGCCGTACTGTTTCCGCGCGATATAGTAAATGCCGGTCGCCAGCGCAAACACGATATTGAGAATCCCAGTAACCCAGATAAACAGTTTCGAGAAGTAGCGCGCCCCGAGAAAGTACGCATACGAGAAAGCAAGCGCCACACAGAGCACGAAAACGAACAGAACAAGCGTATTCGTGTCGAGAGAAAAGCTGTTGGACGAGTCGTAAATGCCGTCCCCGTTGAAGCCTTTGTATTTGGCGTACCGATGGATGGTCACGCCCGAGACCGCGACATACCCCAGGAAGACGGCGATAAACTAGACGCAAGTCAATCAAATGCCTCATCGGGTGAGTTTGCAGTCACTTACGAGTAGACCCGCCCAGATATCGTTGTACTTGGGTCGCTCGATCTTGAACGCGTCGTCAAACCCATAGACGGCCTGATTGTACGTTGGTGGTGGCTCCGTTGGAGGCTTGGGCTCAGGTCCGCGTTGATAGTTTGGGTCGTACCCATTATTGTTCACAGTTTTGTTGTAGTCATAGGGCTGTTGCTGGTAATTTTGAATCCCCGGCTGGGGATCGCCATACGACTGGCTGGGATTGTAGTAACTCGCAGCCTGTCCACTCATGATGGCATATCTTGGAAGGAGGAACGAGTGGTGACTGAGGGGGAGAGATGCAGAAAATATGGGAAAGAAGGTTCAATTCCTGTCGCACAGTCACATGCAGCCAAGCCAAGTATGGAGGCAGCAAGGGACGATGGATCCATGATGGGTTGATTCCCGCAAGTCATTCCGCATGCGGTCATCGTAGAACTGTAGTTACTCAAGGAGATCAGAGTTAATTCACGATTAGCGCCTCTGGTGGGGTTTTCCTGCAAATACTTGCCAGATTGAGGTAACAGAGAGGGAATTAGGTTGGATTCCTGATGGATTCTCTCTTTCAGTGGACGTCATTGTGATGATGTCGACAGGGACGACCAGAACAAGCCAAGAGCCCAAGACGCGACATTTCCAGGATTGTCAGCCCTACAATTCAGGCCCACCCGTCACCAGCCTATCATCATCGTGGTCCTGGACTGGTGCACTGGTTTGATTTCTGCCTGATTCATGAACATGTATGGAAGAGAAAAGTAAAGATGTGAAGTGCTAACCAGAATCTGTGCGATAATTCCTGCTATGCTGGAAATAGACATCCAGACACCTTTTTACTCTAGTGTTCAATGGCTGATAGTTATGAGCCTGGATTAATTAGCCTATCATGAACACGAACGAGGATGGAAGATGAAAGTATGTACAAGTAAAGGTAGAATTGGCGCTAGCAGTCCTACCAGTGAGAGATGTTTGTCTCGACACCTTCTGGCTGAGTGGTTTGATATATGACAGAAGTTATATCTCTCTAAGCTACACGTTAGCTACTAGTAACTAGTTAGATTATAGCCATTAATCAGCTTCTGCATGTAGAAAACCTCAGCCCTACAAATCCAGGCCCAAACCCTCACTGCAGTGCTTCTGCCCATAATAACCAGGAAGATGTATAACCTACTGATTAGACCTCACCATAGTCTCAAGTGCAATAGACCCCAATCCAAATAAAAAAAAAAAAAAAAAAAATAAATAAAAAAGTAATATTCAATCCCATCAGTGTCAAGAGATGATCTGATCTTGGCCCGTCAGCCGGCAGCCCTAATGGGCCTCGTTTCCCGCCGACGGCCGACACTTTATGCCCCGAATGAAACGCAATGAACCCCGTGTCGGACCACGACTACAAATATGCAGAAGATGCGATGAAACTCGGGAGATTTGTCAAGTAAGCCAAAGAGATGGATTCCGCTCAATCTACCAAATTGGACTTTTTGGTTGTGCCAGCAACCCCGTTTAGTGTTGGGGTCTTGGCTTCAGTACTGGTGTTGGTGGCTGTCTTGATCGGACCAAAGGTGGTGATTGATACTGTTCTTAATGTGAGTTTTAGTGTTTTCCTTTTTATTCTCAAAGAGCGGTTTCTGATACAGCGACATAGGGCTATTTGTCTCTTGTTTATCGGATTCCAGCTGCAAACGCGAAGAAGTACATGTCTGGTCCGGCGTACACATTTCCCAATGGGCAGATGGTAGATAAGTTCCTGGCTGCGCGGACAAAAAGCTGGGAGTGGGAGGAGAAATATGGCAAGACGTATCGCATTTGGGCTGCCAGTATCCCCGAGGTGTACGCATACTCTCCCTCTCTTTTCGTTCAACATGACCGCAGATATGCTAACACTGGTACACGCATCAGGGTGATAACGGACCCTAAAGACGTCGAGGCGCTATATCAGCAGTCTACCGACCATAACAAGGCGCCGCAGGCAAATGCCGGCTGGCTCTTGACGCAGCTGCTTGGGTCGGGCCTGGGGCTGATTAACGGGACTCGCTGGACGGTATTACGGAAGACCTTGGACCCGATGTTCTCGCATCGGACTGCCTTGCGGTATTTCCGTGATAGCCTCGACGCTGGCGCGGAGGAATATGTTGCAGGCATACACCGGTTTGCAAAAGCCGACGGGCAGAACGCAGATGGCAAGGGGATGATAATCAATGCCACGCAGGCACTGCAGCGGTATCCGTTCTTCGAGGTCGCGTCCATGTTCTATGGGAAGATGAGTGAGGAAGAGCAGGAGCAGCTGTGGGACCTTGGGCGTCGGTATTCGGAGGTTTTCGCGGCGGTCGTGTCTGGAGGCATCCATCGCTCTAAGCTGACTCGGTATCTGAATACCAAGGCTTGGAACAACGCCAGAGACTACCAGAGGGCGTGGCGGGATTTCAATAGGGAGATATATAGGGCGAGGAAGATCACAGCCCCTGATACGCCAATTGTGGTCCTCACAGAGGCAGCTGAAAGGGGTGAACTGACACCAAATGAGGTAGGTGGCTGGCCCCATGACAGGAACGATATCGAGATCTCTTTAACAGTATGCCTAGGTGACTGACACTATTGCGGAATCCACCTTCGCTAACCTGGACATCGTCACCCATGTTATCTCGTCCTGCATTATTCTTCTAGCCGATGCCCCCGAGGTCCAGGATGACCTCCTCCAGGAGATGGAGAAAAATAAGGCAGATCGAGAAGATTATATCACTCGAAAGGACACCCTTCTCCATTACTGCTTGTTGGAATCGCTTCGCCTTCGGCCTGTTCTATGTGAGTCTCGATCACTACTAGACTACTCAAGGCCAGAATATCGGCTGACCCGGTCAAAGCATTCACGTTCCCTGAGAATCCACCAAGGGAGAAGATCCTGGGAAACTTCGTGATACCTAAAGATACGACCGTTATTGTGGATGCTTTCGCGATCAACATACGTAATCCTTTCTGGGGCCCTGACAACCGTGCATATCGGCCGAGCCGGTTTGCGGGTATCAAACAGAATCAGGTGAGAATCTCGAAATACCCTATGGAGACTACTAGAAAGCTCATTGGTCTTATAGCTGCGGTATAATCTCGCGACTTTTGGCTATGGGCCGAGAAAGTGTCTCGGGCAGCATATTGCCGATAAGATCATCAAGGCTGTGGTCTATCACATGTTCAGCAAGTATAAGGTTTCCCTCCAGCCGATGCAAGCTGTCGAAGGAGACTTCAAAGTTGACAAAACCAGCTGGGTCGCATTGTATGATGTCGATTTGAAACTAGAGGCAAGGGAAGCTGGTGTTGACAAGACCGAGCCTTGAAACGACATCTTGATTATTTATGAACAAGTGAACATATACTTACAATAGATATGAACACTTGATAGCTTCAAGGACTCTCTTGAGAAAACGTAG